TAGATAGGGAGATGAATAGGATGAAAACGTGAAAGTGGCTTTTGAAAAATTGATTCTGGAAAGAGTTAAAATGATGGGAATGTGTTGCTTGAATAGCTTTCCTTAAAGACTTCTAACACTTCAGGGACTCCATATATAACACTGGGCGATGTTATTTAAATGAACCGCTGACAAATAGAAAAGGGTGTTGAAAAGCCCTCGTTCCGAAAGATATCCCAAAAGCATCATCACATTGACCCATCATCAGAATAGAGTTGTTGGAAGACGGGGCGTCCTCCCAAAGTTCTCAATGACAGACAGACACACACACACACACACACACACACACACACACACACACACCACATACACACACGGTAAAAGTGGACACTAAGGTCAGCGGCCTGAACATTACCTTCAAGCATGAAACATAGCTGATGCTGGATATTACGTGTGTTCACTAATATATATATATATATATATATATATATATATATATATATATATATACACACACATATATATATATTTATATGTATGTATGTATTTATCTATTTACCTATGTCAGGCTGTTCAGATAGATAGATAATGAACAGACTGAAATAGAAAAATATATGTATATTAAAAGACTGACACATAGATTTGATAGAGAAAGAGAGAATGAGTGTGTGTAAATGAGAGGGTGGGGATCTATTGCATGTGATTAAAGGAGTGTTTGTATATATATATATACATATATACTAAAGAAAAATCTTTTACGTTGTTACGACGAACAGTCAACTTGCTGGAGAACTTAACAACTTACACCAGGAAAAATCCGGAACAAGGGAAGAAAAAATAAAAAAATCGAAATGGAATATATCTGCATATTCTGATGATAAAATAAACTTAAATAATGACTCGGGCTATCATTTTATATATATACTAGCAGCATGTTTGTAAGATAAAATTAGAATAATAAAATACAATAATGAAATCCAACTATTAAATCAGAGAAATGAATTAGTGTTAAAATGTTGGCATAAATCAAATCCAAATTTCCATAATATAGGTTTAACTTAATTAGCTACTACATTTCCATAATATTCACTCCCCTCTAACTCGTCAAATGTATAATTCTAGTTTCTATATTTCCCCCCACTATATCCTTTTTACCTATATTAATTATAATTGATAAACTTTCCCCTCCTCTAAAGTCTCCCCAATCTCTTTCCTTTAATCCCTTGCATCATTTTGTCGATATATTTTAAAGTTATTTTTAAATCCCTTTTTATTCTTCTTTTAATTTTGCATTAATATTTCATTCTTCATCTAACCCCAAATTTAATGTCATAAGGTTAATATTTGGGTTTAATTTTATAAAACTTCTTCCTTTTAAGACAATTACCTTCCATCCTTACCTGAACCGTCTCGTGCCTTTTGTCTGACTGAAACATTGAAATGGATAAATTCTGGATTAGTTTTTCGACTGTTTTTTTCTTTTCTTTTTATCTTTTACGGTTAAATTTCTATTTCTGACACGAACAGTTCACACCGGGGTTGATAAAACAGACGATCGATATCTTCGTCTGCCGAAATAGGCTATTCCCCACATTGGACATTTTATTGTTCATATATATATATATATATATATGAAGAAATGTAGTTTTATGGTGTGCTATATTTCTGGGATAGAGGTATGTAAATATAAATGTGAACATTGCAGTCAACACTCGTAGACGACAAGCTGTTTCATGCTGGACTTCAGTGTTCACTTTCATATATATATATATATATATATATATATAATGTATATTCACAATGTGGTTCAGTTGGAGAGTGGAGGAGTGAAGCCTTTTTCTCCCACTCCGTTGATGTCTCCCCATTGGCAATACACTGGCAACAGACCTGACATGGTAACAGTTATTGATTACAAGAGAAGTCTGGGCAAATAATAAAACATACAAATAATGAGATATTCAAAATTTATTTTTAAATCAGTTCAATTCTTCATTTCTTTTTGGCAAATTCATTGATCACTTTGCTATTAACTGCCCTGCCTCTTCCGGATGACTGCTATTTCTCTTGAACTGAAAAGTCCAAGTTTTGGTTCACCAGTTCTTGTGGCTTGGTATTGAGTCACGTAAAACTAGAACAATCTACCCCGGTGGACGAAATAAAGAGTGCGGTTCGAAATTCCAATCATCTGAAGAAGACCGGAGCGTATAACGGCCAAAACGTTGTGAATATGGCAATGAAGGTGAGGATAAAGGTCTGAGTAAGGTAAATAATGCAAGTAATCATAATAATCTATTAGAGATATGCACACGTACTTGTATTTCTTGTTATAATACTTATTATAAAACCCAGGTTGTGTGTGTGTGTGTGTGTGTGTGTGTGTGTGTGTGTGTGTGTGTGTGTGTGTCTGTACGTTTATATATTGGATAAGATTTCCTACATTTTTCAACCGATTTCAACAAAACTTCACAGGACTACGTAAAATTACCTTGCGGTGGTCCTGACAGCGCCAAAATTTGGAAAAACACAATTGTTTTGCACAAAATCAATTTGAAACACGATTAAGAGGCATCGCGAGAATGAAAGGGAGACAACTCGTATCGAGTTATACTTATTATAAAACCCAGGTTGTTTGTGTGTGTATATGTTCGTTTATATATGGGATCGGATTTCCTACGTTTTTCAACCGATTTCAACAAAACTTCACTTTTTTTTGGCAGGTAGTGTTTCTTATTGTCTTGCACACTTTTTTCTTTATTTTTACATTCAGAATGCTTTAAAAATTCCATTTACAAGACAATTGTTTATAATAAAATTCTATTCAATCGGTAGACTCATAACGATTGAAAACAATGTTTTTGTTTGAGTTTGGGTTTGACCAATTCGTAAAAAAAGCAAAAGAACAAAAAAAAATCTAATTAAGACATGCGTGTCCGTCAACCTTAAACAATAATCTTTGTCAATTTTATTTTTCAGTCTTTATGATGGTCGATACTTGATCTATCTCTTACTGTTACATCCCCGGGCAACGCCGGGCTCTCCTGATAGTTTATAATAAGTACTATAAATATTCTTATTTATATATTTTCTGTGGCGAGTTTTTTTGCTTTTTCATTGATGAATAAAATGAAAAAAATTATGTTGAATATTTGAACTAACATTTCTATATTAAAAAATTGATTTTGTAAGATTCAAAAATTACAGTATACAAAAATTCGTTTCATTCTATTTTCAAATTCGCAGGAAGGTTAAGACTAAACAAGGAACTCTTCTTTTGGGAAAAAAAACAAAAAAACTCTAACAATATTTTCAAAAAATACAAGACAAACCTTGAAAATTGCTACATATTGAAGAAAAACAATTTCCGCGTTTACCCAAGAAATAACAATGCTCATTTAGTACAGAGGGACATTTTCACATCATTAGTACCATGAAATTTTCAAACACCCCACACACATATATATATATATATATATATATATATATATATATATATATATATATATATATATATAAAAAAAAACTTAAACGCTAATATTCCATGGTCATAATTTATTCCATTGGAATCGTAAATACGATCAATTCATCAGAAATACAAATTCAAAAAAAAACAGAAAAAAAAAAATTTTTATAAAAAAAATACATATGTGCACCTATGTATATATATTTATATATTTTGCATATGTATGTGTATATTTACCACTAATTTTAGCTATATATATATATATATATATATATATATATATATATATATATATATATATATATATATATATGCATGTTTCATTAAAAACGACAGACAAGGTACTACGGTTGGGTTTTTTTATTTAATTTTTCTTGTGTTCTGACAAGAGCTTTTTTTCTGCACAAAAGGCGTGTAAGAACTGTCCAAATGTTTTATATTTCCGAGCGCTTTCAGCTATACCTTTAGCCATTATCAAGGATGATTCGATTTTTCAGCTTAGTAGACTCTTGTCAGAACACAAGAAAAAATTAAATAAAAGCTCAACCGTAGTACCTTGTCTGTCGTTTTTAATGAAACATGGATAAAGGAAGGATTGCTGCCTAAATATACAAATATATATATATACATATATATATATATATATATATATATATATATATATATATATTATAAATTAATTGATTTAAAATATGGCTTTTTCGCTACACAGTTCTAACCATATCAATGCTCTGTAAATTTATATTGAGCACTATTCTTAAAAATAAAAATATCTATAACACCGGATTATATATCTTACTCTTCTTTCTTTATATATATATATATATATATATATATATATATATATATATATATATAAGCAGTTTTACACTTAGTCGGTATGCACTTTACATTTTAAAAACATTTTATTACATTTCTATTTATTTGTCGAAAACTGTTTAGATACATTTGTTTAACATTTTACTTATATTTTTTAGCACAGTTTTATCTCTTAAGTACACAAAATGTCCTCCTTCAACCTTACAACCTTTCTCGAGCCTCTCCAGAACACTATAACACACAGCATGACACATCTTCATCAATTTCAATAAATACCTCTCAGATGTACTCTTTTAGTTCGTCCCCTGTGTTGGAACTTATCTCATAAACCAAAAAGAAAGCCGTTGGTTTTAGTCCAGATGAAAGTGGTGGCCATTCGAGGCTGGCCCTTCTTCCGAGGCAACGCTGTGGAAACGTTTGGTTATGGTAGTCCTTTACTGTCAAAGTATAATTAGGAGAAAAGTTATCATTTAGATAAATTATATCTAAAATATAAAACAAATAATGAAACAACTGTAAGCCTATATTGAGCCCACCCTGAAGACGGCTTTTTCTGATTTCCATGTGATAAATAAAAATGAAAAAACAAATGGTTTATTCTGAAATAAATTGATTAACCCTAGAACACTAACCATGTCTATATAGTACCCAGCGCAAACTTTCCTATTTTTAATTACAATTTTCAGTACCTGATTTTCTTACCTAAATAATATGTTTTTCAGTTCCTATTAATGTTAACTCA